TATATCTTAATAGTCTCTTTTTGCTAATATTAACTACTGGCCTTAAATGCTTTTAGGCTAACTATAGATTTATTCTACTAAATAACTTAAGTAAGATATAAGATCTCTATTATAAGTATCTATCTTTTAAGGAAGTCTTAGAATTCTATTCTTATAGAGATATAACTATTTTAAGTGCCTATATACCTAACTTAAAGAATCTATAGTTTTATTTAGGTCTAAATAACTTATCTTCTTAATATAAATAAATACTGCTAACTTATTATAGATTTTACTATTAAGATATAAGATACTAGTTTAAGCTTTAATTATTAAAACTATAGATTTAAGAATAAAAAGCTATAATAAAAGCTTTAAGTAGCAGTTAGTAAAATACCTTTAGACTTTAAGTTAAATAATAAGTAAGAAACCTATAATAATAATAACTTAAGTATTTCTATCTCTAAAAATATAAATAATAAGGAGGATAGCCTACTTATATGCCTTTAATTACTAAATATAAATACTATATAATTAGCTGGTTTAAGTATTAATATATTTTTAGTAAAATTACCTGCTTATTAAATAGAAAACTATAGAAATTAAAGTATATATATTTAGATTTAATACTAAAAATATTATTAATTACTAATAGATATATTTATTAACAGTAAATATAATAATTATATCTAGATAGCTAGCCTAGGTATGCTAGGCGTTATATTTAGCGCTATGCTATTAATATTAAACCTTTTAGTTTTAAAGCCCTATAATAGGATAGTTATAGAGCCTTTATTATCTATATTAAGTAATAAATTTTATAACTTATATAGCTAGGATTTATATAACTTTATACTTATAATAAGCACTGCACTAAAGACTATTATAAAACCTGCTATTATAAAGCCTGCTATAATATTATTAATTAAATAATTACTCTCTAAAAGTAATATAATTAATAACTACTACCTTTTAGTCTTAAATACTTATTAACTATTAAAGTAACTAAAGCTTACCTTATCTTTATATAAAGATATTATTTTAACGCTTTTACTTAATATATAAGAGCTAATCTTAAAGACTTTAGCTAAGCTAAATATAGAATAGCCATAGAGCTTAGATATTTATATTAGTTATATATCTAATACTATAATAGTAGTTACTAATAGAGGTAGCGCTAGTATTAATAATAATAAATTAAGTATCTATTTTAAATAACTAAAAGGCTAATATAAAAGGATATACTGCCATAAGTAAGAACCTAGGGAAGAAAAACTTTTATAAGATCTTAAATACTTATAAAAAAAATATTAAGGTCTATTAGATTATATAATTACAGCTAGACTAAACTATATAAATAGTGCTATAAAGTAATATTAAGATATTATAGAAAAAGAATAGAGATATCTAAAAGAGATAAAGTATATTTAAGAGAAATACAGTCTAAATATAGGTTTTTAAGATATTAAATAATATTAGGCTAGGTTATAATAGCTATTTAATTTAACTTTTTACTATAACCTATTAAGGTAGACTACTAAGGATACTTAGCTACTATCTTAGTACTGCTATTAGTAGCTTTCTGATATATATTCTTTAGTGCCTTATCTAAACTTATCTAACTCTCTTTTATATTTTATATCTTAATATATTATAATATACTTATTAAGATCTTTTTAGAGAGGATTCCTTAAATTATTATATAACTAGTCTTAATAGCATAAATAAAGCTTATAATAATCTATACTTTTAGTTATAAAGTCTATAAATAGTTCTATAGCATTAAGTCTTCTAGTAACTTTATTAAGTATATCTATAAAAGGTCTTATTTTAGTCCTTTTAGTCTATCTATCTTAAATAATATCTCTAATAATTTTAGCGCTTTTTATAACAGTATATTAGCTAGCCTTTAATGCAGCTTATATCTAGATAGCATCTAAATGCAACTAAATGCCAGTAAAAGTATTTATACCTAAAAGAATAAAATATAAATATATTACTAGGCAAAATAATATACTATTATATTATTCTTTAATATAAAAATAAACTTAAGATAAAGTAAAAGATTTTTAATGTTTTAGCCTTATTAATATTAAGATTTTATAATAAATTCTTATATTAAGTTAGAAGGTCTAATTAAGATATAGTTTTTCTGCCAGTTTACTTAGAGTTCTAGAGAAAGGCCGGTTTGTCAATATAGTGGTGCTATTTCTTTCAAGCAGTCTAACAATCTCTTTATAGCCTTTATATACAGCGGTCTGGAGAACGTTACTATACTCTCTACCCTCTATATTAATATCTGCCCTCTTATCTAAAAGCAGTCTAATAATTTCTTTATAGCCTTTAGATATAGCAGCCTAAAGAGTATTACTATATTACCTGCCTTATATATTAATATTTACTCTATTATTTATAAGCAGTCTAATAATCTCTTTATAGCCTTAAGAAGCAGCAGCCTGGAGAGCTTTATTATTTAAGTGGCTGCCTTATGTATTAATGTCTGCTTTATTTTCTATAAGCAGTCTAATAATCTCTTTATAGCCTCTAGATATAGCAGTATAGAGAGCGTTACTATTCCCCCTGCCTTGCGCATTAATGTCTGCCCTTTTATCTAAAAGCAGTTTAATAATCTCTTTATAGCCTTAAGATGCAGCAGCCTAGAGAGCGTTATTATTTAAGTAGCTGCCTTATACATTAATATCTGCCCCCTTATCTAAAAGCAGTCTAATAATCTCTTTATAGCCTCTAGATATAGCAGCCTAAAGAGTATTACTATACTACCTGCTTTATGCATTAATATCTACTTTATTATCTAAAAGCAATTTAATAATCCCTTTACGGCCTTTATATATAGCAGCCTAAAGAGTATTGCCAAATTGGCTGCCTTATACATTAATATCTACTTTATTATCTAAAAGCAGTCTAATAATCTCTTTATAGCCTTTATATATAGCGGCCTAAAGAGCGTTACTATACTCTCTACCCTCTACATTAATGTCTGCCCCCTTATCGATAAGGTCTTATACAGGTAATATAAGCCTAATAAAGCAGGCATAATAGAGTCTAAAACCTTATAAAGGACCTAGGTTATTATTTTAACCCCTATTAGGCTAATATAAATAAGCCTATTATTAAAACGTTACTTTCTCTTTTAGGAACTTAACTATTACTCTAGCTATATCTTTTAAAGCCTTAACTAATATAGTATAATCTATCTAGACTTCTGCTATATATCTTACTATTAAAAAATCTTACTTAATATCTTTATAAATATCTATAAGATAAGTTAAATATATCCTTATAATAGATATACTAATAATTATAATATTAAATTAATCTGCCTTAATAAGATATTCTTTAATAGAAAAGTAGGTAAGATATAGCTCTTTATTAATAGTATAAACGACTGTCATTAAGTTAAGGCAGTAATCTAAAATATCAGTATTGCAAAATAGTCAACACTTAATATTAAACCCTTATAGTTTATTTTTTATCTATATTACTATTACCTCTTTAGCCTTAACTAGCCTAAAAGGTCACTTAAAGTATATTAGGAATTATAAAAGCTATATTATATCGGTTTTAAGCTTTATTAGTATATATTAAATTATATATTAATATATACCTTTTAAGTCTTACAGTAAAGACCTAAAAGCTTTCTTAATAGCTGCCTTATAATAACATTAAGCTAGAGTATTTAATTAATAGAATACCTACCTAAACCTAAATAATATATTAATAAATTACTAGTATATTAATTAAAACAGTAATATCTTATATCCTATTAGCCCTATTACTAACTTTCTTTAGATCTCTTTAAGGAGATCTTAAAATAAGGGCTTATCCTAAAAACTATATTATTATAAAAGCTATACTATAATATATAATTAGATATTGGTATTAATAGACTTTTTATTAATTGCTAAGTAATTATCTATATCTAATAAAGAGGGGATCTTATATATAAACTTTAGTTTAGGCTAATTAATATAAATTAACTAAATATTATCTACCCTTAACCAGGATATTATATCTTTTATTTAATAGAGAAGTTTATTTCTTATTATTAACTTATTTAAGGTATTTAGAATAATATAGCTTCTCTTTTAGATTATAAGTATTTTATATATAAGGTCCTTAAGTATCTTTATAATAGGTTAGTTATAGCCATTTTAGTATGCTTAAAATAAGGCATTAAGAAGACTTATACCAGCCCTGCTTTAATAAAGTTAGAAAATAAGGGATTATAGTATACTATTTAAGGTCTATTTTATTATATCGCTAAAGTTAAAGAAAAAGCAAAAAATAAAATAGTTATCTTATAAAAAAAAAAAATTTAATATAGTTATACTAAGAACTGTCTTACTATATCCTATAAGCCTATTTAGCTATAAATATTAATATGCCTTTAAGTGCTATTTCTAGAAGACTGGGTTTTCTAAAAGCTATATACCTATCCCCTTATAGCAGAGCTTTATTATATAGTTAACGTTTATAGATAGATCTAGAGGATAGAGCTAGCGCTTAATCTTATTGGCATAAAGGTAAGACCTAATAGAATTAATTATAGCTTTTATTATAACTGTTATTTGCTGTATATTATTAATCTATTATTAAACTACTTGCAGTTAGGGCATATTCTAATATTATTTAGTCTTATATATTTTTTAATCTACTTTTAGTAAATAAAGTAAGAACTAACCTAATTAAAGCACTTTTAATGCCCTTTTAGTCTTTTAAACCTTTACAGCCAGTATATATGCCAGAAGCTTTTTAGTATATATAGTAGTAATAGCTAAGGCATAGTATTGCTATTAATCGTTCTTATAAGAGTTAATATAGTTATAAATCCCTTAAATTATAAGATAGAGAAAGTAATTTATTAGGCCAGCTGCTTTTATCTTAAAGTAGATATAATCTTTATTAATATTAGTAATGATTTAATTATATATAGTGGCATTTTTAATAAGTATATTGCCAGATATAATAATCTTATAGTAAATATTAGGGTTAGTATTATCTTAAGGATTGCATTGAACCCTATAAGCTGTATTACAGCCCTGATAGTCCGGCCTGGGGATGTGGCTACTTGAAGCTTCGAAGAGGCGGTTGTTTTCAAAACCCTGGTGAGTATAGCCAGGATTTCTCTTGGATGTTTTACCTATCTTTGGGTTTATCTCTAGCATCTGCTGAAGAAAGCAGGGAACCTTGGAATCCTTTCGCTTGTGATCGGCCTGGATACTGGCAAGCGTATTGAGGAGGACTGTCGGAGGCCGTCCGAGGGAGCCTTTGCGCTTGCGCCTATCGCCAGGCCTTGCCTTGATCAAGTCGTATTGGCAGACGCCGCCTGTGGTCCYATCGGGCTGGCTCACAACGATGTCACCGAGCCGGATATCGCGGYCATCGTCCGGCCGGGCGATGCCGCCGCCTATGCCAACCAAAAGACCAACACGAATGGACGGCAGAGAAGCAAGCAGGCTCGAGGCCGTGGTCGCAGCCGAAGTGGTTCCATAGACTCTAGCAGCAAGAGAGGCGATGACGATGTTGTGCTCTCCTATGTAACCCTACGTGTAAACGTTTGCGTCGGTTTGGTGCCTGGTAAAGCCAGATGGAGCCGCATGTTCCTCGTCCAGCATCGCTTCTGCAGCGGCTCGCTYGATGGGAAGAGCGGCGATCCAAGCAATCGCATAGGAGTCGGGACTGTCGAGAGAGTTTTTGGATGTTATGGCGTGGAAGGCAGCATGCGGGGCCGGCAGACAGGCGGATGGAATAAAATGGCGTGCGGTTYACCTAGGAAGCTAGAACCGAGTCGCAGAGCGTAGGGGACGCTTCCTGGAGTTCTTGTTCGGCAATGTATGTGGGCGAGGTCTTGAGGTAGGTGTTGGCGTGGAACTTGATACTGCTGTCGTCTGTAGAYAGTGCTAGTTAGCGCTTTTCTGGCCTCTTCTCTCCCATATCCTAGAAGATCGTTGTTTGAATGGGCATAATACCTTCGCGGAACAGTCTGCAAATAGTCGACGACAATAATACGACGCGAGTCCTCCAGCAACACAGAGAAGGAGGCTGGCATCGAGAGGGGTCGAGAGGCAGCCCGATGCAGCCTGCTTGGGCTGCGGCTGAG